CACAGCATCCATTATGGTTGTGGAATTCCATGAAACAACCACAAAAGGAAGGTTGAATGGCTTCGTAGAGGCTCATGATCATTGCTTGCAAAGCATTTTGACACAAGCACTTGCATACCTTCAAAGATGCCAGCGGGAGCAACAGTGTTGCGGAATGCGTGTATCTCGTGTGATTTTGTCTGGCAGAGAATATGTGGATCTTCTTGAAGCGCTTCACCAGCGGCATAACGTACATTTTCATTGAAACCGTGATAGTGTTGACTGATATTCTACTGAATTTCAATGAGGTTCGTTGTGACGGGTGGAGCCTAACAGTTGACGTACCTTCCCAATATGGCATGCATCATCCACCGCCACTCATACGAGCGAAACTCCAAGCGCGTTTACGTCTCCTCTTGTCAGGCTGATGATTATCCAGAGAATTATTTATTCCAACAGCAAATTTCAGCTCATGCCATGTTAACTCGTCACGAGAATCAACCTTCAAAACCAGATTAGAACGTGTAGTGCGCAACTACCGCAAGATTGAAGCAGATGGTCGGATAAATTGAACATAATCACGATTTCTTTTCGAAGCAGTGCAGTGGCTTTACGTTGTTCTTGGCGAATCAGAGGCCAGTCACTCTTGATATCAATGTGTCGCCCAAACGACTGCGACCGTTAATTCTACTGTGCGGCGCGTCGAATTATCCAGTAAGATAATCCACGTTTGATGCTCATTCCATGCATCAGGTGGCTCTCAGGATGGAACGCTAGCACGGAGAGACGATTGCCTTACCACGAAACTTCCTCGCATTTTTGTAACGGTCCTTATTTGCCCCGTTTCATTATTGGTTATCTATCCCCATTCTCAACAATATCTAAGAACAGCGGTGCAGCCAGATTTCAAGATGATAAGTCGAGGATATTGAACCACCTTTTCAAATTGCCATATTCGATTTAACACAAGGCCTAAACGCAATCGCCAATGGGCTGCGATGTCTTTCCTGGTACTGTGATTAAGCGCATCGATCGACGCTAAAATTATTCCCCGCTCCAGAGACTCATATCCTCTACGGTGACCAGGTGCCTGACGCTTTCATCCGACCTAGGTATAGCGCACGTTATGATCCCCTTCGATGGACGACTGAATGATACAATGGAATGTTGGGGAATTCAAGAACGAAATAGTATCCTCGGTCTCAGGACACAAAGCTGTGAGTCGAAAGTTTGGACAGGACGGACTGACAAAGTTTGTTTGGTAGGATCACTGCCGGTTATTTCAAATTGGAAGTGATTCAGTGTCAGCAAAGTAACAAATAAAAACTTTCACAATACTGCATTCGGGCTGAAATTCCCCTGCTTGGGAATACTAGAAAATTCAACAAGGCGGATACATCGGGCATACGACCAAACACAGCGCAACTCACTTGGTAGCAAATCGGATAATCCTGACGATAGCTTAATACCAGTTAAAATGTGCGCTTCAATCAACCCACGATATTTGGAGTATGGGTATGTATGAATATCCCATATAGTTGCGACAGGCTTTCCTTCATAACCGACTTGGCTGCACAGGCGTTGGAAGTAATTTCTATTGGCAAACAAGAACTATCACCCCAGGCGAGTAGACGCTAACCTGCCCCACCTATGACCGGATGGCTTCTCCCATGTTGCAGTTAATATAATTCTCGAAACTGACTAAAATCGGAATGTGAGAAACTATTACTCAAGTTATCTGTCCTAAGTAACCGAGGAAAATTTCTCATCCAGACGTTAAGAGTCTGCATTTTGCTCTACAGCCCCGATGAGCGAGTAACCAAATAACTGAATGTTTCCGTTTCCAGATTGTCATACCTACTGAAATCATATGAACAACTCTTTGTACTCTGTTCATCTCATCGCATCCTCATGCTCTTTGGCTTAGTACGCTCCCACCATTCGCAGCCACTTGGAGGAAATTAGTCACTGAATCTGTTGTAAATTTCGTTGGAGAGATTAAATTTATCTTCGGCAAACACATTTCCATCGAACGGCTCGATCGCTTGTAATTGTCAGTTGTAAGGGAAACTGGCGAATTTGTACCTTGTTGTAATTGAAGATGTATACGAACTCGTTCATCTCCAGTCTAAATTTAGAAGCTGTCCACTGATTCAACTTGCAATTTGTTCGTCCAACAACATTGTTCAGCATGAAATAGAAATTTAAGTGAGGATCAAATTTTAACAGGGTCAAACCATTTATATAAATAAAACCATATGCAAATCAATGTGGTTTTCACATGGTCTTAACTGTGTAACACTATCTGTTGAACGACATCATAAACGGGAGATTTAACTGAGTCTCCCGTAAGAGCCACACTGATGTGCAAATGAGCGTAGTTATCGAAATGATTTCAATTTGCGTTCAACTTGTTTGCACTTTATATCCGTCTTGAGACAAGCAAACCGCACAATTTGACGAATCGTCATCTGGCAGCGCTGACCAAACCATCGGTCAAACAGCGGCCCATTTGTCAGAAGCCGATGACTACAATCTCCGGTTTAAGTTCGGCTGTGAAAACCTTTCGGTGGTTAGCTGCCATGACACCCGAAATGAGCATGAGGGATGGGATATCGCCAGGTTGTCCGAACCTCGACCGGGGAAGTCGAAAGGCAAAGGTCTGGTTCGAGCCACGGACCCTCCGGTCAGTAAATTCACGCTCATGCTCAATTCATGCTCAAATTACCCCTGCCTTTGGTTTAAACAAACCGTGTTTTATGCCAAGTAATTTTGGAATCTGATCTTGGCAGCTCGCTTGCTACTGTTGATCTTCTGGGACTTGTTCGAGGGTTGCCGTCTCACATTATCACTCCGGAGCATGTCCAGTCATTTCTGGACGTCCAAGATATTTCCATACACGTGGAATGCCGTCTCACAGCACCGCCGTTAATGGCGTACTGTATGTCGACCAACCGAGAGCGGATCCACCATGACGACTGGGCCGCGTAGCATGTCTCATAATCCCGTTTAATGTTAAGAATAAGTTAGTGTGCATCTACTGACAGCAGCTGCCCAAACTACTCGATGAGTTGATGCGTGTTCCGTTGTGTCCGTATCAATAAATGGATATCACAACGAACTGCGCCATACCCCACAAGTCCACCAAAACACGTCCAAATTATTGAGCGATTACATCAGACAATCTATTATTGGAGGACTACGTCTACATAAGGACACTGCGATCAGCTACGTCTATGAAGGTAAACAATATGGTGGATTTGATGACCAAAGTCTTGCTGTAGCCATCCGGACGCAGCGGAGAGTCCTTATTGAAGAGCTTCTCTGTACCGAGCGCTCACTACTACGCAACGCGGTTAACGATTCCATATTTGGCAAGGCTGATTGGAATTTCAGCTTTCCGATCCGATTGCTAGGTGCATGCCCAAACACGAAGGACTAACGTGTGTCTACTTGCCACGATGGTCTGCGCAACCGCGTTGACGGTCAACGTTTCGGAGATCTGGTCACTTCGC